AGGTGTTGATGCTGCCCCTTCTCTGTCATAAAATCTAGCAAGGATCCTATGACCCGTGAGGTTCTTCTCACATATCCCATTTGTGCTGAAGCTATCTAGAGCTTTTTTTTAACATTCTCAGCAAAAACCTTCATTCTGGGTTTTGTACATCAACGCTCTTTTCCTTCAGTTGGGATGATAGCCCGGTAACCGTAGGCCTTCTCCTGCAGTTCGGGAAGGCAAGCCTCAATCAGAATTGCCTGGAGGGTGTGTTCAGCACGGACGGCTGGGCCACCTCCTGAACCGCTGGTTGCACTAAGGCTGGGTGGTAACTGACAATCTGCATTTCTCTCCAGGAGACACTGCTGCTGTGTGATCACACGTTCAAGGCCTGCCGTATAGCAGAGCTTCCTCCAATGCTGTCCAAAAATATTAGCCAATAAGCAATGATTCAGGGTCTTGGAATTTCCCTTGGTTTGTTGATTTCCCTGGTTATTGTTGCTTATATATTAAAGATAAGATATAACGAACTTGGAGAATTTTTATCTTATTTTTCTGAACCAATAAAAAAAAATTGAAAAATCCTGAAGTAGTAGACCAGAAGAAGCCTGGACATCTCCTTTGTTTATTTATTTATTTTTCATTTATGGATTTTAAAGAAAGAGGGAGGAAGAGTGAGAGAGAGAAACATCAATTTGTTGTTCCACTTATTTATACATTCATTGGTTGATTCTCGTGTATGACCTGACCAGGCATAGAACCTGCAACCTTGATGTATTGGGTGACACTCTAACCTATGGAGCTACCCAGCCAGCGCCTTCCTTTGTTTATTTACAATAAAATGGCCGTGCATGTCTGAATTCTTTATTGTGTCTTAACTATTTTTATTAGAATAATACATTGTTTAAAACACTGCTCATCTAAGTGGGAACTGTTCTCCAAAAAATTACATTTTTAATATATAATAGCAGTTCAATAATTTTCTCATTTTCACTGATGACCTTAGCTGTTTCTGAACATAGACTGTGGGGTTCAATTAGGATCTTTAAAGAAAGACTTTTTAAAAGGATGGATGAATGGATGAAAGGAAGGAAGGAAGGCTATTTTTCTAGAATTGTCCCTCATTACCTGGCTGCATAGATTTGAAGAAGTAATCTATACCTCAAATAATTCCACAGCCATAACACACAACAACTACACACCTACCAGGATGGTGGAAAGAGATCATAGACAACACCAAATACTGGCAAGGATGATGAGAAACATTGCTGGGAGGAAAGCAGAATGATGCTATGGCCACTCTAGAAAAGAGTTTGGCAGTTTCTCATAAAACTAAACATGTAATTTCCAATATGACTCAGCAATTGAACTCTTGGGCATTTATCCCAGAGAAATGGAAAAGTTATGTTCACACAAAAACCTAAACATGAATGTTCATAGTAGTTTATCTGTAATAGCCCAAAAACTGGAGGTAGCCCATGTGTCCTTCAAAGAGTCAATGATTAAGCAAACTGTGATACACCCAAACTAAGGAATACTAGTCAGTAATAAAAAGGAACTTGACACATGTAACAACTTGCATGACTCTCCAGGGAATTATGCTGTTTCCCAAAAGAGTGCATTCTGTCTGATTCCACATATATGCAACACTTCTGAACTAACAACATTTTAGAAATGAACAACAGATTAGTGGTTGCCAGGTCTTGGGGGTGGGGCAAAAGTTATGGTTATAAAGAAGAGGGATTCGTGTGGCATTGGGACTGTTCAGGACTTCGAGTGTGATGGTACACACTTGAACCCACACAAGTGTTAAAACTTAATAAACACACACACATCAGTACACGCAAAAGTGGGAAAATTTGAACTTCATTGGATTGTGTCCATGGCAGTATCCTGGCTGTGATATTATACTATGGCTTTGCAAATTGCTATCACTGGGGGAAACTGGGCAAAGTGTACAAGGGATCTCTCCGTATTATTTCTTACAACTGCATGTGAATCTATAATTATCTCGATTTTCAATTAACAAAACCCAAACCCAAGTAATAAACCTGCCAATGATAATACTATAGTAAGACTCGCATATTGGTAATATTAAGTTTAGATGGTAATTTAGAGGAAGATCCTGGGCTTCTGGGCACAAAAGAATAAGTGTGCTAGTTAATCACAATTTTGTACATCCAACTGTTTGAAAAACTGGTTGTCGAAGTGAAAAGCAAAAGCCTAGATCCTTGATGTAGAAAAGACCTTAAAAGCCTAGATCCCAGATCCTAGATCTGATCTAGCCACCGGCCGTGGGGGGACCAGCTCAGGTATAGCAATGTGTTCCCAAGAAGCATTTGTTACCACCATCCACTCCCACCAGGGACCACCTACGCAGCGTCCCAGATTTCCCTAGAGCCATAGCACTAGTAGGTTTCAGAGCAAATACTGGCACACACATTTTACATGTACTAATAAGAACTACCACTTACGGAGTGCCTGACGTAATAGACTGCTAAGTGTGCACCCGGGGTTTAATTCATACCCATGATTTCAGTTAAAGGAAGAATCTAAATTAGATCCATGATTTATTCTTAACTTTGGGTGAGAGGCATCATTATCTCCATTTTACAAATGAACAAAGTGAGGCTTGGAGAATTTAATTAACTTGTAGTACCAGCTGGTCACGTATGTGGTGGAGCCAGGGCAGCATGCAGGTCAGTGTGTGCCAGAGCGGCCCTCTTTCCAGCACACCCGCGGACAACAAAGGGCGCTACTACTGTGCTCGTTCCTGAACAAACGTCTGTGGGTCATTCCAATGTTTTTGCTCGATCATTTCCTTTAGATTAGGAATTCTTAATCTAGGAGCTATGAGACCTTACAAGAGCCAAAGATTGGTTTCAGGAGATCGGGTGCTGAAATCAGTACACTGAAATCAGATACCAAGTTTGGTATGTATTTGCACATACAAGTTTTTCTGAGGAAAGGGTCCGTTGCTTCCATCAGATGCTCCAAAGAGGTGCGGGACTCAGTAAACAGGTAAAGAACTCTGTAATCAGATCCAAAGAGAGATCTTTTTTCACTGGCTCAGGGAAGTGATACATCTGGGGAAAATAAAATCAACTGGCAAATCCTGCAGAGAAAGCAGGGTCAAAAACACTCTTTGTAAAGTCATTGCAAAGAGGATACTTGAAGAGACTCACTGAATTTCATTTCTGTCTCAGCAGAACTGTTTGACATTTCCCAACTATTGTTCCAGATATCTTCAGAAGATAGTGTTTTGGATAAATCTGATATATGATGAAAGTCTATCAAGGTATGCCTTAAGTTCAATGTACGGGCTGGTCCACAGCCTTAGCACAAAATTGTGCCTGTTGATTTTTATCAAGCATCTTTTATCATTTTTATCAGTGTTTAACGGAATTAAGGTGTAGGGATGGAAGATGCAACACTACATGACTGCACTTACATGGAAATACATTCATTTTCATGCCTGTGCCCAAGTTGTTTCCTCCTGTTTACAATGCCCTTCCCCTCCTCTTTGCCCAACAAACTTGAATTCTGCCTTTAAGTCTTAGACCAGGTCTTCTCTGATTCTTCTAAGATCTCCCTACTTCTCTGCTCCCTGGACTGAAAGAGGAATGGAGGTTTACTGGGGGCGTCAGAAACCCCGAATGAGTTTTTTCAGACCTTGGGATTCACTCTTAGAGAAACAGAGTTGGATTCTGGATTTACTGCTCTGTTGCTTAAGCATAGCTTATATTCTTTGGTATTTCACTGGAATCATTGAAAGTCTCAGCTGCAAGGGACCAGAGGAATGATATAGGCCTGTCCTTTATTTGATGGATTGAAGCTCAAAGAAGCCTTGAATCCAGCCTAGGAAAGGCTGCTTTCACAGGGCTCAGGCTGAGGTAGGCAGGCATGTCAAGGGGCTCTAGGGAGAGGACTCTATTTATTCTGGTCTGTGACCTCAGAAAAGGCCCGCAGCTGCAGGAGGTGGCAGCAATAGCTCAGATTCTGGTTTCTGTAGGATACAAACCAAATAAAAACATTAAAAGAATGAGGTAGTTGGTCAAAAACAAGTTTGATAATCAAACTCAGCTTTTTCCTCTTTATTAGCATATTTCCTTTCTGTAACAGGTTAAGAGAATTGGTTTCATGGAGAACGCATCATGAGCTTTTAGTTCTATCCCGTAACTCCAGGAGGAAGGGAGATATGAGCAGAAGGCACAGAAACACTGGCTGTAAAACTGCTTTTATGTTTGGTTAAATGTTATGCGGACTGGATAATAACAAACATCTACCTCTCCACGTTATTTTTCCCTACAATCTTGCTCACCTTGTTCATATGTGGCATTTCCTGTGATTCTGGCAACTTCGTTAAGGGTCAACAGAGAGCACTAGCTGCAGAGAACACACCTAGATAAAAAGACTTCGTCCCTTAGAGAAGTCACTCCCTTTAAATTGCATTATCTCACTGCTCTTTACTCAAAAATAAAAAATAAAAATAAAAGGTATAGCCTATTTATTATGCAAGGTACTTGGTGTAGTAACAGGCCTTCAATAACAATCAGGAGGCCAGAGCATTGAATCAGAGACCTGGAAAATCAAATCGGTTCTCTGAACCTCAACGTCTGCATCTGTAAATATGCGAGAATGCGGCGAAGATCCGGGGCGACCGTTCGCGGGCCTCGCTGTCCTGCCCGCCTCGGTCACTTCAGGCGCTGACGGCCTGCGGCCAGGTCTCTGTACACCCGCTGCCCGCTGCGCCGGCCTCCGACCGCGGGGTTCCGGGGCATGCTCGGGTCCGGGAACTGATCTCCACCGTCCCGAGCCGGGACGAAGCGGGAAGCCGTGCCACAACTGGCAGACCCCGCGCTCCCGAGCCTGGGCGGGCAACGCAGCCGCGCGGCGCGCCCCGCCCCGACGTGCTCCACGGGGGGGCGCGCGCACGCACGCGCGGGGGCGCACAGCAAGGGCGCGCGCGGGGCCGGGCCGGCACGGCGGCGAGAGCGCGCGCGGCTCCGGGAGGCGGCGGCGGCGGAAGCGGCGAGGGCGGCGGGCGTCCGGCTCTGAGGTGGTGAAGGCGGCGGCGGCAGCAGCGGCGGCTCCAGACTGGGCTGGGCTGGGAGCGAGCGAGGGTCGGTGGCGCCGGGTCGAGCACTGAGCCCTCCGCTCGAGCATCAGCCCGCCGCCCGGACGCCTGGGCCGCGGAGTTTGTGTCCCGGCTCGGACCCCGGCGCCCAGCCCGGAGCCGTAACCTTGAGGCGGCGGCGGCGGCGGGGCCGGGCCGGGCCGGGCCGGGGGGCGACGGCGCTGGATCCTCGGCTGCCTGATCGTTGGCGGGAGATGTCGAACCCCGGGACGCGCAGGAACGGCTCTAGCATCAAGATCCGTCTGACAGGTACGGCCGGTGGGAGGCCCACACCGCCCCCCCCACCAGCGCCCACTCGCACCCCGCACGGGCCCCTTAGCAGTCCCGGAATTTCCCGCAGGGCGCCCTGCTGAAGTGGCCCTCCCCCACGCCGGCCGTTGTCCCAGGACCTCGTCCCCCCCCCCCCAGGCGAGTGCCCCTCTCTTCTCCCTCCGGCCCCGCCCCCTCACTTCTCCCCGGCCCCGCCCCCTTGCTTCTCACCCGCCCCCCCTTCGCTGTCTGCCTTCTCGCTTCCCTCCTTATTCCCCCACCTGCCCCCTCGCTTCTCCCCTCCTGGCCCCGCCTCCTCGCTTCTCCCCTCCCGGCGCCCCGTTTCCACCCCTCCATCCTTCTCCTCGTTCTCTTCCTTTTCCTCCCCGGCGTCCCGCCGCTTCTCCCCTCTGGACCCCGCCTCCCGCTTCTCCTTACCCCTCCGCCTCGCGCTCCCCTCTCCCCTCACCTGCCCCTCGCGTCTCCCCGGCCCCGCCCCTCTCCCGCCTTCCCACCCTCTGGCCCCAGGCCTCCCCCGGACCCGCCGGCCGTTCCTCCCCGCCCGCCCCACTCCTCGGCGCCTCCCCCGTCCTCTTCCCCGGCTGCCCTGGGCCTGCCCCCTCTGCCCCTCGCAGCTTCCCTTTGGCCACGCCCCTTTCTGCGCCCCTAGTTGCGCCCCCTCACTTTCTCTCCTAAACTCCGCCCCTTATTTTCTACTTAATCCCGCCCCCGCTTATCAACCTAACCCGCCCCCGTGCTTGGGTCGGCCTGGCGGCCTCCACCCTTTCCTTCAGCCTCGGATTCCTCGGTCCCGTTCTGGAGCTGCTCCCCGGCCCGGTCCCCTCGCCTCGCCTCGCCTCGCCTCCGGTCCAGACCTCTTCGGTCTAGTCCACTTCCTCTCTCTCGGCCAGGCCGCGGGCTGCCCTTGACTGTGCTGCTTCCATTCTTTCCTTTTCTGCATTGTCTGCATTGCACTTTACCATCGCCACCGCCCACCCTTGAGCCCGGATTAGGCGTTGACCCGCTCCCCACACACACACACACACACACGCGCGCGCGCGCACGTACACACACACACACACACACACACACTCACACTCACACTCACACACTCTGGAGGCTTTGGCAGCTGAACGACCGCAGGCTCCTTGATTCACTCGCATGTAGTCTTCAATGAAATGCCTGTGTCTCCTAGGTGGCTCTGTAGTGCCACCTTCGAGGGTGAGCGCGAAGCTCTGCTGCGGGCCTGCGACGTGGTGGGCGGTTTGGAGGTGTGCAGATGCCAACGGTGTCTGCTGGGGGGTCCCTTGCCTGCGGACCCCAGGAGTCCTGGGCCAGTCCGCGTCCTCTCTGTCCCCCTTCCTCCTCATCCCTGTGTGGCTGCTGCTCGTCTGCCGGTTTAACTTAATAGCTGAGGCCGGACTGTAGTGTTGCAAATGCCATTCTGTTGGGGGACTTTCCACACTCGAATATTGCCAGCTCTGAAAAGGAAATAAAAAGTTTAGGCTAATCCCTGTAAGGGGTTTTCCCCTTGATATTTCTGTTCAGTGGCCCGTTTGATGAGGACTCCAAAATCAGAGTCCCTTTCAGAGACAATGAGCATTTTGGACACTTCGTGGCAGATGCATAGCCCCAAATCATTGGTAAATCCGTGAAAACAGCAATGGGTGATTGTTTTCGAACTAAAATTTCTTTGGAAACTCCACAGTTGTTGCATGATCCATTTTATTTTTGTTTCAAGAAGAAGTTTATAAATTTTTTAGGTACGAAGATACCAGCTCAGGTTATGATCAGATAGATAATAGGACCAGATCAGATGATGTTTTGGACCCAAACCAGACTCTGGTTTTATAAAGTAGCAAGTATATTCCAGGGTATATGCTGCTGGAGAAACATAATCCTGCATCCCAGGGCTGATAGGAAACACTTCCCACTCTGTAGATGCAGTATATACATTGTTATTTTTATGGTTACATAAAAGTGACATTTTTAACTTTGTTAATGCTTGTAAAACTTTAATTACTGACAACTTCAATTCGGTTTTCATTTACAAAATAATCTATAATTGAGATCAGAATGGTTTCAGCTTTCTTGTTAAAAACAAAAGTAACTGATTTTGTGAGTTTTGGTAGAAACGTGATTAATGTTTTAGAAATGATAGGTTTTAATTGCAGTATTTGTGCCAGGTGTATATATATTAATCCTAACAGGCAGGTCTGGGTGTGGGCCTTTTCCTTCTGAAAGGGAGGGTTTGGTTTGTCTTCCCAAATCGTCTTTGGATTTAGGAATTTAGATGTCATAGAAATAAAAATGCTCCAAAGAGTTTTACTATCATTTGATCTTGAAGGATAAGGTGATGAGTGTTTTTTCTATAGCACCTTTTCCCTTTCCCCCAGTTGATGTTAACAATGATACAGGAGAGGGTGATTGTCCCTGAAAGAGGATCGAGAGTTTAGGGACGCGTGTGTTCACACACGTGATGCCAGTTGTCTGTTGAATGTTAGTTTAGGTAAAAGTGTTGGAACTAGGCATCTCGCTGAAGATAGGCCAGGTTTGGGCCTCATCTTTAAGGTTATCAGGGGAAGTCTGAAATCTCTTCTGGCAAGTTGGCTTGCCATCTTTCCAAAGTGTATACTTTTGTTACAGGTTTCAAAGTTTATTTCCACATGTGATACTAGAAAAAATGACTTTTAGAAATGAGAGCTATTCTAACTAGTGAATACCACACAGTGTAATTCAATACCAAATGTGAAGACATGGGCGTTACAAAAGCATTTAGAGCTTCAGGGTCCACCGTTGTATTTAGTGGTGAGCAGAACGTTGGATTGAGAATTAAGAGACTTAATTTTGGTCAGATCTACCATAAATTGCACAATATGGAACAAATTACATAACCTTCCTGGGTCTCAGTTTCCTCATATATAAAGTGAGATTTCGACTCCATTTAAAATTTTATTTGATTCTCCATCTTGTAGGATTTATTTGTTTGGCTTATTCCAAATTACATTGGGTACTTATGTTTTCTGTTAGGTGTCAATACTGATATTCAGAAATTTGTGTCAAAACACAGGACTCATGTTTGATTTATGACAAGCATTACTTTTGTGCATGGATTACATTTATGCTTTCTTTATTTTTCTTCCTGTGGAATGTTTTTTTGTTTTTGAAAACTACTGGATAGTTGTTGAACTGCTTCGGAAATTTCGCCTAAACAGCAGAAGAATGTTTGAGTTGGATTTTTTTTATTTTATTTTATTTTATTTTATTTTATTTTATTTTATTTATTTTTTAGAGAGAGGCGAAGGGAGGGAGGAAGAGAGGGAGAGAAACACCGATGTGAGAGAGCTACATGGATCAGGCACAAGCTCCCAATTGGGGGCCTGGCCCGCAACACAGGCTTCTGCCCTGACTGTGAATTGAACTGACAACCCTTCAGTTCACAGGCTTGTATTCAGTCCACTGAGCCACACCAGCCAGAGCAAATGTTTGAGTCTTTATATTTAAAAGACTATAATTTTAATAAATGTCTTTGTGGTAATTTAGCAGGATAATAGTTTTTAAAGGTATCAGTAGGTTTGAGGCATAATATTTTCAAAATAGAGTGATCTTTGTTAAAAGGAGTTATCTTGCAGACATTTTAGAGTTTGCTGGTAAATCAGATACTTGGGAAACATTTTTATATTTTGAATTCAAGCAGGATTTGCAAAAACTTTGTTCTTATGTGGTACACAAATGAATCCCAGATACGTTATTTAGGCCACTTTGGGTAAAAGAATGGAATTTTGAGCTCTAAGTGTTCCACAGTGCTCTTCAAACAAATTAAATTTTATTATATTAACCAGTTAGTTGAAATACCAAATGTCTGAACTTTTTTTTTTTTTTTAATGCCTGGAAATCCTGTGATCTTCTTGTGTTTTGTTTATCTTTTGGATCGTGACTGCATATTGTGAAGAGAGAAAAAATCTAACTCCCAAGTAGAGGGAGGGAGGGAAACCTTCCTTGATAGCATATGGGAATGGAGGCTATTTTTAAAGTTGTAGCACATGTGATGTAAGGCTGGCTTGTGTTTTGGCATCCAGATGATGCCAAACTTGGAGAGAAATAGTTGTTAATAACTTTAATTGATCAATAACAGTTAGGTGACCTGATTGATTTGAAATAGTTGTCTCTCTTAAGAAAGATAAAGCTGTTAAGAGTGTGGCCTTTGTCAGTCTGTGCCAGCCAAGAACCTCCCTTATGCAAAGCAGGCAAAACTTTTAACAGTTGCAACTTGGGTAACATGGAATTTCTAACCATCAGTTTTTGGCCTAGTGTTGCACCTGAGTTTATATATTTTTCTCAGCGTTAGCCTCAAGTTTATGAAGTATAGTCAAGGCACTTCTCTGAGCTGAATTCTTTAAGGTTGTGGTGTGGATTAAACCAAGTACTATTGCAAAACTTAAACTGCAATTATACTTTAAAAGGAGTCACGTTCTGCCAAATACAGGACTACTGTTAATTTTATTTGTGATTTGATCACATTTGTGTTGTCTTAAGAAAAATCTTTTTTAAAATTCATTTTATCTTTTTAATTTTTTTGGCCCAACTAGCAGGCTTGAGAAATGAAATATTTCATGTACTTTATTTCTGTCTGTATTTTTACAGTAGTTGTGACTTATCAGAGTAAAACCTGTGGCTTCAAGTCTGTTTATTTGTGAGAGAGCGAAACCTCTGTTTTGCACCTGGAACAGTGGTGTCTGGATTTGCAGTTTTTCTTTCTGCTCTACAAATTTTCATTTTCTCTGTGTGACCACATTGCCAGGTTCTAGTGTGGAACAGTGTGCGAACCACGGAGGTTCTGGGGGCTGAGTCATCCGTGAAGGAGTATTTCCTCATGAATTAAAAAAAAAAAAAAAGACTGGCCTATAATATTTCAACATCAGCTTAATGATCCAGTTAACTAGACTGGTTGTTGTGTAACACGTCTGTGGGCACTGGTTAAAAGTTAAAATAGCTGAATT